TCCTCCTGACAGCAGCAGGCAGACAGGTCACAGAAAAGGTGGTTATCTCCTACACTGGGGCTCCAAATTTTGAAGATATTTAAGAACTCCTTACTGGAAGTCCCTAAGGGTTACTAAATGCAGATTCAAGCCCTTGACCCCAGGATGGGAGGAGACCTACAGCTCTGGCAGCCTCTTTAGAGCATGCTACTGTCTGCAAAGCATGTTCTATGAGGGACAGTCTGGTTCATGGGTCTCATTGAACGGACAAGGCAGCTGAGCCATGCAGAATGGTCCATGGCCACATAGGTGGTAAGAGGCCCATAATCTGGATGCTGAATCCATCACTCTCTTATGGCCACACACCATACCTAGCTTTGGGGACACTTACAGGAAAGCCAAACCTTTCTGCCATGTGTACAGGGAAGAAAATCTCCATTCCCTCTCTTGCCTCTCTTCCTCTCTTAGATCTTCTTCCTGCCTCACTAAGCCTGCTATGGCCAGGGAGGTAGGGTCAGGGGCTCTGTCCGAAGAGCAGCAGTTACAGGTGTCCAGTTACAGCCTCACCGTGCACAGCAGTCCGTATAAGCTTGGGGGATGAATGGATTAGAGTTCCAGGGCAGGCTGAGAAATGGCCACGTTCCTGCAGCAAGACCTCCTGTCAGTGAACAGAATGACTCCCAAATGCTGGAATTATGGGATTACAGGCATGTATCACCATGTCTGGTTTATGTGGTGCTGGGGATAGAACTCAGGGCTTTGTACATGCTAGGTAAGCACTTTGACAACTGGACTACTACATCTCCAGTCCTCCTTAGCCATTTTCAGTAACTGACTAAGTGATGTTGTAGGTGCAGCACATTTTTTTCCCACACTTAGATTGGTTCATTTGTACATTGGTTTACTGACAAGGCAAATGTACTGAGCCCCAACCAGGAGTATTTCTAAGATCCAAAGGCACAAATGTGGCTGAACTTCGGGGACTTATGGCTCTGTGCATGAAGGAGAGACATGGCTGGAGGTAGGAGCAGGAAATCTCCCATTTCTTTTACTGCTCCCGTTTGCGTTGGCACACACATTTCTCTCCATGGTACTGAATCATTAGTATATGTGCTGCTGTTTCTCTGTGACTTTGGGGCAGGACTCATCTCAAACCTGTCCTGTACCCCGCATGTGATGCTCACAGCTGAGAGGTCCTTGGCAATTATTCAAGGCAGTTCCAGAGTACCCCTCTCCTATTTCTTTTGAAGCACTGGGGACTGAAGCCAGGGCTCTGCACAAGCTAGGCAAGTGTTCTGCCACTGAACACTTTTCCTCCAACCTTTAAAAATTTTATTTGGAGGCAGGATCAATCTCTAAGCTGTTCAGGTTAGCCCTGAATGTTCGATCCTCTTGCCTTGGCCTCTCGAGTAGCCAGGATTACAGATGTGATACCATGCCCTACATCCCTAGAATTGTAAATCTGAACTTCTTGGAAACCTAAGACCTTTCTCTATGCTACACACTCTTCCTCTTTTTAATTTTTATTATTATTATTATTTGGTCTTTTTGAGACAGGGTCTCCCTGTAGCCCCAGCTGTCCTGGAACTCACTATGTAGACCAGGCTGGCCTTGAACTCACAGAGATCCGCCTGCCTCTGCCTCCTAAGTGCTGGGATTAAAGGCGTGCGCCACCATGCCTGGCTTTTTTTTTTTTATGTGTATGCATGTATTGCCTGCATGTAGGTAAGTGTATCTGTGTTGTGTAATGCTCACAGAGGCCAGAAGAAGGTGTTGGATCCCCTGGAACTGGAGTAACAGACAGTTGTTAGCTACTATGTGGGTGCTGGGAACTGAACCCAGGTCCTTTATAAGAGCAGCCAGTTCTCTTAACCACTAAACCATTTCTCCAGCCCTTGAATGAACACATTCTGATACCAGTTTGAATCACTTTTTTTCCTTTAATTATCATATTTTCTAAGTTTTGGCTCCTCCCCCTGGCAAACATCATGGAGGTTTGTACAAATATACACCTACATACGTGCACGATTAGGTTTAAAGCCTCAGCTTCTTTATTAAGCCTCGCTCTTAGGCATATGAATTCGACTGGATTTTTATATGGGTGTTAAGGATCCAAACTCACATCCTCATGCTTGTATGGCAAGCATTTTACCAACTGAACCATCTCCCCAGTAATTTTTTTTTGTGGCAGGGTCTCACTATGCAGCCCAGGCTGATCTCTGGCTGGTGATCCTCCTCCTTTAGCTTCCCAAGTGCTGGAAAGCTAGGGATGCTCTGCCATGCCAAGCTCTCACTGAAATTTTTAAGAAAATATTTTATTTATTATTTTTATTTTATGTGTATGAGTATATTGCCTGCATGTATGCAAATGCACCCGTGTCATACAGTGCTTGTGGAGGTCAGAAGAGGGGATTGGATTCCCCTAGAACTGGAGTTACAGATGGTTGTTAGCTGCCATATGGGTGCTGGGAATCGAACTCAGGTCCTTGGAAGAGCAGCCAGTGCTCTGAACCGTTGGGCCATCTCTCCAGCATGTTCTCACTGAACTTTTGCGGTAGCTCTCCATGTGCCTCCCCATCTCCACTGGGATCCTCGCTAACAGAAAGGGGCCTTGCAGAAGCTGATAGCCAATCATTTCATTCCCTTGCCTTTTCTTCACTAGCTCCCGATACTTCTGGGACCAGGAGCCATATCCTTTTGGTTTGGCAGAGCCCTGCCCTCCTGCACAGCTTCCTTATCCCACCTCTGTCAGCTCCAGCTACACTGGTCTTTGTCTGGTGCCTCCTGCTTTCCTCAGGCATCAAATGTTGACTGTGCATATCTTCCACACAGGCCATTTGCACATGGCACTTTCTGCCTGGATACTTTTCTCCCTTTAGAGAAGAAATCTATCCAATTCTTACCCATCCTTCACATCAACTCCGCAGTCCTTCCTCCAGGAATCCCTTCCTGCTTCTTCTGTTTTATAAGTGCTCATAGGTCATCTGTCTCTTCTCTGTAACACTCCTTACATTGCAAGTTTGTCTTTATTTTGGTGGCTGCAAAGGAGGCCAGCAGGTTGTGAGGTCCTGAGCATAGACACTGAAACTCTTGCACACTGTAGCATCCTGGGGGCCTGACACAGTGCCCGGTATGAATATCTGTGGAGTGAAATAGTTATGTGAGGAATGAAATGGAAAAGGACAGAGCCTGGAGCCAGGGGGTCTTTCAGGAGGCTGTCAGCATGTCTCAGGTCAAAAGGGGTACTTGGAACTGGGGTGGGTGCCAGGACATTAGAGAGGAGAGTGGCAAATGGAATTGACTAGGAGGGAAAATACATTAGCAAGGTGGTCTCTGGAGATGTGGTTCAGTGGTAGAACACTGGCTTAGTATGTACAAGGATCGGGTTCAGTCCTTAGCACTGAAAACAAACAGCCTAACAAACTAAGTTGTGACCTAGATGGTGAACTTCAGCTATTGCCAATAACTGGGGTGTGGGCATGTCAGAGGAGTCACACAAGGCAAGAGGCAGATGGAATTGGATGCCACCCTGTCTAGAAGTCATTTAGAATGGGAATGGAGAGTTAGAAGATTGGTTAGAATTCATGAGGTAAAAAGGACAGGACACCAGGAGCAGAGACAGAAGGAAGGTCATGTTTCTGATCCTCACCTTTCATCAAGGAAATGGGGCAGCACTGCCAACCTGCTGGAATGATTGTGAGGCCCAGGGAGATTGCTAGGTGCCATCTCAAACAGGATGCCTGGCAAGAGGGCAGGCTCAATAAGTCACCACTATCATCATTTTTACCACCATCAAGGTACTTGACCACATTTTCCTGTTGCACCCCAGAGCCTCTAAGAATTAGAAAATAAAATATCTGACTAGGACTGGCGGAGCAAGCTTGTAAGTTGGGAAGCTGAGGCAGAAGGATTGTGAGTCCAAGAACTGCCTGGGTTACAGAGTGAATTCCAGGCCAGCTTGGTCATCTTAACGTCTTGACTCTGTGCCAAGATTTAAAAAAAATTTTTTTTAAAGGACTGAAGATATAGTCCAGTGGTAAAGTGTTTGCCTAGCATGCGCAAGGCTCTGGGTTCTAATCTCAGCACAACAACAACAACGAAACCCCAAACAACCCAAAACTCAAATGACTTGCCTGTGACTCTGAAAGCAGTCACACCCTTGGTGGACTCCCTGTGCCTGGTCCCTAGGGGTTTGGGCAAGTCTAGGAAGCCCAAGAAAAAGCAGAGGGATTCTAGGGTAAGGACTCAGGTCGTGGGACCAGCCCTGGCCATCAGGTGTCCCCTGGCCACAACAGGAATAGCCCAGGGTCACCCTTGCTTGGATACATCTCCTACTAAAGTACCCAGGGCCCACCCAGGGGCTTCCCTGCTCTTACATTCTCCATCCCACCTGCATCTGCCTGATCTCACCAGGTCACCAGGTCCCAGAGAAGCATAGCTCACCAAGAAGACGCATTCCATCCAGCCGAGCCTTTCAGGACAACCCGAGACATGTCTGTGCAATCTAGAAGGTGTACTGTGTTGAACAAAGTCACAGTCATGGAAGGAACTAGAGGGAGGGGGGTCACTGTCTTTGGGTTTGTGGCAAGAAGGAGGCCACAGAGGAAAGAAGCAGGCATGTCACAAGTACAGAAAACCCCAGACTGCCTTTCCGTCCCCATATGGTTGTGGCATCATGTTTGGGAAGGCTCCACAGGGCTTTGGCTTGTTTGCTCCTACAAGTTAGCCTGGACTTGGTCCACCCGCTTAAGTCCTGGGTCTCCGCTGTACCAACTGTCATTGCCATTCTGACCTTGCCTTGTCACTACCCTGAGAGGAAGTGCCCACACTGCTTGGTTCTGTGTCCCCATGCAGAGAGGTCCCCACAAGAAGTCCAGGTCATGTGTCCAGTAGGAGCCACTAGAGTGTGGCTAGCAGTAAGGATGAAGTGTGTCTGGAAGCTCAAGGGGCCACTGAATGACTTCTTCACCCACATGATTGATGGACAGTCTCCCTGAGGTCTTTCTGTCCTTTCTCTGCAGTCTCGAAGTAGTGTGCAGCAGGGGGACCTGGATGGAGCACGGAGGCTGGGCCGCCTGGCCCGTCTGCTCAGCATCAGCTTCATCATCCTGGGCATCATCATTATCATTGTGGCTGTCACTGTCAACTTCACAGGTAAGGCCCAACTGCATGGAGCAGAGGGAGCCCTTGGAGCAGGAGCAGTAGGTAGGGGAAGGATAGAGTTGCATCCTCTCGAGAACAGTGGACCAATCCCCCAATCTCAACTATTTCAGTGAAGATGGGTTTTCAGACTCATCTTATGCCTGGAATTACTGGATTAATGGAAAAGAGTGTAGAAAGGGCACTGGCCTAGGGTCAGAGGCCAAGAATTCCAGACTCAGCTCTGATGGCCTGGGACCTGGGCCAGTGTCCCATTTGGCTGAACCTCGTGTTTTCAAGTATAAAATACCAAGAAGAGGCCTCCAGCATGAAGGTTTTTGTGAGCATCACTCAAGATAATGGATGTGATCACTAAGTAAACTGATGAACAGGACTCCTTGCTGAGAAGTCAGGGTAGACAGGAAGTACCGTTCATGTGAACACTCAAAAGTGGCTGGGGAGGTTATTCAGCGGGGGAACCCTTTGCAAGACTGTCAGCTGCAGCTTTGTGAGTGTAGAAGCCCCCCATCTTAGCGTGTCCCCAGCATGGACTGCATCAGACATCTCTGCTCATTTCAGTGATCAAGCTAAGCCTTTCCTCTAAAGGTCTTGCTGCTCAAAATATGCTCCATGGACCTGCAGCAGAGGCATTGTCTGGGGCTATGTTAGACACTCAGACCCCACCCTGCACCCATTGAGTGGGAATCTGCATTTTAGACATTTTCTTTTTTTGTTTTCTTCTTTTTCTTTTTGGCAGTGCTGGGTTTGGAACCCAGGGTCTCATTCATGCTAGAGAATAAACCAACCACTGAGTCAAGCCTCCAGCCCCAAATCTGCATATTAGTAATATTCCAAGCATTAGTATGAGCAGTGCTAGCCTGGAGCATGGAGTGCTCAGAGCCTGGGACCAGTGTGTAGGGCCATGGCCAGCCTTGGCTACCCCAGAGAAGCAAGCATAAGAGTTTGCAGTCAGCTATTCTGGGCTCAGAGTTCAGGTCCTCCATTCTTTTCCTGTATGAATAAAAGCTTGTTCCATAAGCTCTAGGCCTCATTACTTCACTAGTGTGGAGTCTGATGGACATTGGAGTCTGGGGCATTGGGTTCCCTCACCTGGTCCCAGGCTGCTTTGGTCCTCTGCTGCTTGTCACTGTAGCCAGGACAACTTCTGAACTCAAACTGGCAAAGGAAATGTACAGCTTCCATAAAAAATTTCAGGATAAATTGCTCTAGTTTGGCACAAGGCTGTACTCAAATGATGGTGAGGGGATCTGTTTCATGACCTTGTCCTGCTTTCCAATGTGTTGGCTTCATTTCTAGGTAGGACTTCTCCCTATGATAACAGGATGACAACCAGCAGGAATAATAGTGTCCTAGGAGAGGCATACATGCTAATCAGTCCAGCAATTAAGCAGTAATAAAAACAAAATAGTGAGGTCCAGGCATAGTGCAGATGTCTATAATCCTAGCACTTGGGAGAAGGATACTGGAGGATCCGGAGTTCAAGGTCAACCTTGGTTATATAGTAAGTTTAAGGTCAGCTGGTCTACAGGATACCCTGCCTTAAAAAATAAAATGTCTCTATCAACATGGCAAAAGTCCTAGGACTGTTTTTGATTGGCCTAGTTAGAGTCACATGCTCATCCTTTAATCAATCACCAACCAGGCCACAGCGTTCTCATTGGTAGTTTTGTTCCATCAAAAGCCCTAAATCAAAGATGTCCGTGTACTTTCCCCTTCTTACCATTGCCCACCACGGAACAGTTCAGCATGGGGCCATGGCTCTTCAAAGCAAGGACCTGAAGACCCAGCGCTCTCCACGTTGCTTTACCCTAACTGTTCTTTTCTTTACAGTTCAGAAGTAACCAAGGAGCTGTTTCTAGCAGAGGTAGACGCCAACCAGCTGGAGAGCTTCGAACCCACATGCCCCATACACTACAGAGAACAGGATGGTGACTGCCTACCTGTCCCCAAGCTCCAAAAGCACAAACTTGGAAGGAAACCCCATATCATTTCATTGTCAGCCCATGGCAGAGAGGAAGGGAAATCTGGAGCAAGGAAGGAAAGAAGGAAGGAAGAAGGAAGGAAGGAGGAAGGAAAGAAGGAAGGAAGAAGGAAGGAAGAAGGAAGGAAGGAAGGAAATGAAATTGCCCTTGATAATGAATAATGTGGTTTAATCTCTTGCATACATCCCTTGCTGTTTGACCACAGTTATCTGGCTGGTTTCTTATCCCCATAATTCCTGGGACCCACATGCAGCATAAACTGCCAGAGCAAGAAAGCCAGCCCCACAGCCAAGAAAGAAGCAGCGTAGCCCTGTCTGTGGACCAGGACTTTTTTGAGATCTTTTCTATTTTTCTTGAGGGGGAGCAAATAGACTGCTTGCATGTTTTGTGCCACCACCTGCTCTATCCCTACTTGAGCCCGAAGACCGCTCAGAATGGGCCCTCGATCCTTGCAGGCACACAGGAGCAATAGCTGCCCTGGAAAGAGGCAAGAGTCCCCCAGAAATTCCCCACTGCAAAGTGAAGACTGGGACAGGGTCAACATGACATGACACACCTCCAGCTCTTACCGAACTTCAGCCTCAGGACTTTTCAGCCTACTCCGATTCCAGAGTGGCTTCCAGGACAACTGGGTCTGCCTCTTGCTTCCCACCTGTTCTGTAGCCTGGGGCACCAACCTGAAGTCCTAGAACTTAACCTGACCCAGGCTAGCCAGTGGGGAGGTGTGGGGTCTGACCTGTCTTCTGCTGCAGCCTCCTGGGAGGTCTGAACTCTAATCTTTGGAACCCATGCAGAGTGGCTCAGGGGCCCCATATAGGCCTGGGGAGCCAGGGCACTGGGTCGGGGGCTGTGGCTTCAGGTTCCTAACCCAGCTACATGGGATACTCTGTGTCTGGTTCTGTGTCCCTGCCGGACCATACAACAAAAGCTTGCCCTAGAAGGGGTTTAGAGACCCTTCCTTGGTGACTCACAGACTTGCATGCTGTCAGGGGTCTTTGCCACTGCTTGGAAGGGAGCAGGCTGGAGAATTCTTGTTTCTTGATCTGGTGTCTCAGGATTCTAGAAGGATGGGTTTAGCTGCAGGCTGGGTCCTTGGAGAGTGGGGCTAGGGGATAGGATGCAGGGGCCTAGAAGGCTCTGTATCTTAGGACCTACTGAACACTGGGAGAAGAGCTGAGAAGGGTCCTCTGCCGCCTGCTCTTTGGCTCTGAGCATCTCCTTTTTTTTTCTCTGGCACAGGCTGTGCCCACAGGCCTCCCCTGCTGGCCTTGCCTTCTCTGAGCCCCCTTACCCAATGTCACATTTCCATCCTCTTCTCCTTCAGCTCAGATCTGGGGAGAAGTGGTCCAGGCTTCCCCTACCCAGCAGCCAGGGGTTCTGCCCTCCGAAGCCGCAGCCACACTGGTTGGAGTTTGGAAGTCTGCTGCTCCTTTGCACTGTTAGGACCCTCATGCTTTCTCCCCAGGGCCCTTGCCTGACTCCCCACTGTCTCAGAGACCCTGGACAGGGCGGGGCAGCACAGAGACACTGACTGTTGGGAAGTGTAGTAGTTGTAGTGGCAGCTCTGGACCTTTCAGGGTCAGAATGGCTGCTGGAAGGGCAGAGGGGTTGAGGGGTGTTCCTTTGGGGTTGCTGTTCCTATATTAGGCTCCCATTGAGGGAATGAACTCATATATATGCTCCTAAAGTTAAGACTGGCTGAGTATCCCTTATGGGATCTTTGAAGCCAAAGTAGAGATGTCCCCATTTACTGGGGGGAGGAAGTATGTTAGCTTAGTTTGTCAATGCGTGTGATTTGGGAGGTCAGCTCACCAGAAATGTGATGCCTATGGGATCAGCCCATCATAGGCTCCTGGTCATGAGTTCAGGGTCTCCCCTAGGCCTTTGGGGGCAGGGGGCAACTTCAGGATCCTTAAGAAGAGGGGCATTGAAAGATTCTATGGATTGTTACATGGGGGAGAAGAGGCAGAAGTGGCCTCTGTCTCTAGCCTCTACATCCTTGGAACACAGTACACACCCAGCTAGGCCTTCCTGGCCCCTGTACACCAGGCCTGCCATGTACACCCTCACACATGCACACATTTGTTCATACTTCAAGTCCTGAAAGTTGAGTGCTCTGCCTCAGAGAATGGCTTAGCTGGAAGGTTCTTCCACCAGGCAAGAACCACCTGGGAGCCTTTTCGTGTTGCCAGGGATGTAGCTCAGAGGCAGCCACTGGGCAGAGGGGAACACAGGGCAGGAGGAGAGGGCCACTGGGGTGGGAAGAGTGAGGGATGGTTCTCATGGGCCCTAGCCACAGGGAACCTAATACCCCCAGTCTGCATTGAAGCAGGGAGTGGTGTGGTGGGGGAGGACAAGAGGGCCCTGCTGTCACAACTCTGTCTTGGTTCGGTTGTCAGCTGCAGGAGCACAATGGTTCCCTAGCTGTGGGCTCTGGCTCAGCCTTTTCTTGGACTCCCTGGGGAATAGCAAGAATGCCCCCTCCTTACCATACACACAAGTGACTCTGTATTTCTTGGCATGGAAAGAAATAAAACAACATACATGTTCCTCTGTGTGTGTACTATCAAGGTTGGGCGTTCCAAATAGCCAAGCAGTCCACTCTGCCTGTTGATCCCTGTCAGCATGGGTCTGGGAACCCTGGGCACACTGGGGGTTCCATGGCCAATGCAAAGCATTCCTCTGGGCAAATGATGGTATTCCCCAGGCCTCTGTTTATCCCACTGTAAAGCACATGGGCAATGCTGGTCCCACCTTCTCTCTGTCCTTGTGTATGTGTGTGTGTGTGTGTGTGTGTGTGTGTGTGTGTGTATTTGTATTTGTATAAGAATGTGTGTGGAGGGGGCTGGAGAGATTCCTCAGTGGTTAAGAGCATTGGCTGTTCTTTCAGAGAACCTGGGTTTGATTCCCAGCATCCACATGGCAGCTAACAATCATCTGTAACTCCAGTTCTGGGGATCCAATGTCCTCTTCTGACCTCTGTGGGCATTGTGGGACACAGGTGCACTTACATACATGCAGACAATATACTCACACATAGAACAATAATTAAAAAGTTGTTTTTTTTTTAAAGAATGTGTGTTGAGGCCTGAAGCCAAGCTCAGATGTTCTTTAGGAGTTGTCCTCCGTGTTCTTTTGAGACAGAGACTGTCATGTGGGTCAGGGGCTTGAGATTAGGCTAGGCTGTCTGGACAGCAAGCCCTAGGGATCCACCTGTTCTTACCTTCCCAGTGCTGGCATTGCAAGCTCATTCTACGACACCTGGCTTTTATGTGGTTGCTGGGGGTCGAACTTAGGTTTCCATACTAGCATGGCAATCACCTTATCAACTGAGCCATCTCCCAAGCCCCACTCCTTTTTTCTGTTCGTGAACCAAGATCTTGGGCTGGAAAGAAGACAGGAAGCCATATCTTGCTGCTCTAGACAAATCTGTACGGCAGTCCTGTAGAGTGACTAATGTCGCTATCCCCCACACTCACATTGGTAAACTGAGGTCCAGGATCTCTCTGGGCCTTGTCTAAGGTTCCACTGTGCTTGACACACAGAAGGCACTAAATACATTTTGGTGACATGACTGTATTCTCAACTTCTGACCACAAACTTTGCTGGCCTATGAGGAAAAATCCCAGTAGAAGGAAAGTGAGTGTTTTGAGGGGCAGAGGGGAGCCATTTATTAGCTATAGTGAGCCATAGGCAGAGGCTACTATCCTGAGGAGGGGAAGCTGAAGGTGGACATGCGAAGAGTCACCAGGCACAATGGCCAGTGGGAAGGGAAGGAAGTGCTCGTGAGGGACAAGAGGACAGGTACAGGAGGGAAGGACAAGGCAGAGCATGAGGAGGAAAGGGGGAGGGAAGGAGGGCCCCAAAACCCAATGGACAGCAGAGCAAAGTGGGTCAGGGCATGGAGTTGGAGCAGACCTGCCTGGATTCAAATCTGGCCTGGCTACTTACTAGTTGACCCCCACCCCACCCCAGGGCAGCCCCTTAACCTCTCTGAGCCTTATCCAATCTGAAAGTATAAACATCCAATGAAACAATCTATGCAAAGGTGCAGCACCCATCTTCACTGTGGACTCAGGTGGACCCATCTCCCTCCACAGCAAAGGGCTGATGCTGGAGTGTCCATGAGGCAGGACCACAAGGCCAGAGGCTTTGCTGTGCTCCCCTCCTCAAGCCTTAGGTAGAACACCCACCCCCACCTGTGCTTGGAAGCCCTGCTTCTGCAGGAACAAAATCGTTCCATCCACTATATACATGTGTGTGGGAGAGTTAACAACTGTCCCTAATCCAGCCTGGTAGCACAAAACTGTAATTCCAGCTCCCTGGGTGGCTGAGGCAGAAAGATTGCAAATTCAAAGCCAGTCTAGATTATAGAGGGAGTTCAAGGCCATCTTGGGCAATTTAGTGAGACGTTATCTCAAATAAAAAGTAAGAGACTGGAGATACAACTCAGTGGTATAGCACTTGCTTAGCTCGTGTGATACCCTAGGTTCAATCCCCAGTACCACACATACAGAGGATACCTACCTTGATAGCCAGGCCCCATACCTTCCTCTTATGGAAGGGTAAGTGGGGTACCACGTGGTTAGCAGTTAACTCTCCTTCTGCAAAGCCAGCCCTGAACAACTAGGAAGTGACTGACTACATCCATCTGGTCTCAGGTTTAGTTCCTCTGTGTAACAAGCACCCCTTGTATGCAGAGGGGAATGCTCAAAACAGGCCTTGGAAGAGCCCCCAGCTTGTGAGGAAGGTGCACAGTGAGGACACGTGTGAGTACTTGCCAGAACACCTGAGGAAGCAGCAGAGTCCATCTGTAAGGGAAGGGTGGGTGGCTTCCTCAAGGGGCCCCTTCCTCTCTCCATCACAATCTTGTAGTAAACACCTACTATGTGCTAGGCCCCATACTGGACCCTAGGGACACAAAGATGAAAAAGGACAGGTTTCCTTGACCATGTGATCACTGAGCTAATGGAAAGCTTTAGGAAGGAAGGAGAGGATTTGTTGTGGGGGTGGGAGTTGCCCTGGGTAACTGATGGCAGTTTAGAGACCTGTTCCAGGCTGGAGGGATAGCACAGGTATTAAAGGCTAAGGCTAACAACCAAAACATTAGAGACCTGTTCCAGGAGTTCAGGGACAGCCAGCCAGCAGAGTGGCCCCTATCAGGAGCTTCAGGGTCTCTGACCCTGTATGGTGAAAATTCACCCAGCTAGGTAGGGGTGAGGTCAGCCCTTCCTCTCTCCTGGGTGACACAATGATTTTAACATTCCTACCACCTCTAGGAGGGATCATCCATTTTCCTGAGATTAAACAACTCAGAGAGACCCAGTGATTTGTCCAGAACCAGTGAGGAATGATGGGAAAGCAGGACAGTCCTTTGGAAAGGAAATGGGTGTCAGCCTCTCCAGGCCTTAAAAAGCCTGCCAGCTCTTCCAAGGGACCTGGCCATTTTAATGTCCTTCACTGTACAGCTTGGCATGTGACTGTCACACTGCTCTTAGAGTTGCATGACAGTCATCTTTTTTTTTTTTTTTTTTGGTCTTTTTGAGAGAGAGTCTCCCTGTAGCCCCAGCTGACCTGGAACTTGCTATGTAGACCAGGCTGGCCTCTAACTCACAGAGATCCACCTGCCTCTGCCTCCCAAGTGCTGGGGTTAAAGGTGTGCGCCACCACACCTGGCCCTGACAGTCATCTTTTTAAGGATATTTGAAGTACCCTCTGAAGGTCCGTATTAAGAAAGGTCACCAGGGTGATGCAGCCACGCTAGGGTGAATAAGGACATCCACATAGACTGTCACTAGCAGTGGCTGCAGAGACAAAAGGCCAAAAGTAAAAACACAAACTCCCCTGACCATTTAGGACCATTTAGAAGCTGACCCATGGTGTCTCATGCAGACATCTGGAACCTAGCCCCCAATGACCCATGGTGCCTTACACAAATGGCCAGTCTCAGGAAAAACAACCTTTGCTGTGAAACCTCAGCAAGATGGTGAGAGGGCTGCCTGGCCCCTCAGATACCGGGATGGGATACCTATGAGGATGCAAACAAGTTACTTCCCTTCAACTGCTATGGAAGAATGTCCCCTCCGGCTCAGTGACATGATTCCCTTTCTGGAACTCACCCACTGCTTTCTAGTGGTGTTTCAATAAACTCATTCTTGTGCATTTGTGTCAGTAAATTCTTTTTTTTTTTTTTTCTCAACCACTGTTTAAGAATTAATCTTTTTGGTAAATTCTTTTTTTTTGCCCAAGCCACTGGTCTTCCCAAAGCTGTTTCATATGGCAGTGACCGCACTACTTTTCTCCCCAGCTTCATGGTTTAAAAGTTTCTTTGGCACTTTAGCCAGAGACAACCAAATTTCAGAAATTTGAGAGGGGTCTAGAGGGAGCACTTGCATTTTGGAATTGGTAAGGGAAAAGTTGGAGCTTCTACGACACAGGAAGCTTCAAACGGCAAAGGTTGTTTTGTTTTGGTCTTTTTGAGACAGGGTCTCTCTGTAGCCCCAGCTGGCCTAGAACTCAGTATGTAGACCAGGCTGGCATTGAACTCACAGAGACCCACCTGGCTCTGCCTCCTGAGTGCTGGGATTAAAGGCATACGCCACCACGCCCGGCAAATGGCAAAGGCTGCGAAACCCGACAGGGGCCTTCTGACTCCCCATCTATACAGGGTGATGGTTCCCCAGCACTCTGGGGATATTGGGGTGGATGTGGGTGAAAGGATGAGAGCTGGACAGCCATTAGGGGCACGGATATCCATGTCCTGGAACACAGCTTAAAGGTCTCTCTCATTCCCGCTGAGTCACTGTCATCCTTTACTCTTCTCTCTTTGATGCATAGCCCTGTGTGCCCAGGGGTCAAGCACATGAACCCTGTGCTGTCTTCCACTCACTGGCTGTGTGGTCTAGGGCAGTCTGTGGCCTGTCTTTGGGCCTTAGTCCACACACATAAAGGAAAGAACCAATTTAGAGCAGGCTTCACCATTCTGGCCACAGGGGAATCACCTGGTAACATTAATGGGCCCACCCAACTGTGGCCTGTGGGATGAATGTGTCCCAGGATGAATGAAGCCTGGCGCATTTGTAGATGACATCATGCTAAAATGTCAAAAGGTTGGCTATCTCTGCTTTACAAGGTCCTGATATCTGGTGTCACTTCAGGAGAGTCTGGTGCAATTACTCTGGGTGTGGTCTGCACATCCAGGGGGTCCTGATAGTCATTTGAGACAAAGACACAGATCTGGACTTTAGAGCCTTGTTACTCAAAGTGTGGACCCTGGGCCACCAGCATGGCAGCATTACTAGAGCTGTCAGTGGAAGCCAAAGCCACACCCTACACCCTTACCTTTCAAATGGGAAAGTGGTTCATACATTTTAAAGTTAGAGGAATTTTCTGGGTGTGGTTGCACACATTTTTAATCCCAGCACTCAGGAGGCAGAGGCAGGTAGATCTCTTTGAGACTGAGGCTAGCCTGGTCTATATAGTGAGTTCCAAACCAGCTGGGGCTACAGGGA